TAATCTGTTTTATTTAGGGATTATAGAGAGTGTACTTATAATCTGTTTTATTTAGGGATTATAGAGAGTGTACTTATAATCTGTTTTATTTAGGGATTATAGAGAGTGTACTTATGACTTACCGTACCAGATAATAGCTAGTGTACTAAGAACTTATTAAACCAGATCGTCTCCAACCTCACGAAGACGACAGTAGCTAATGTATTATATGTCCTGAATATGGTGTTATCGTGTTTAGTACATACTGAATGTCTCATTGTATTTATAATTCACTGTACCAAACATAGGCTATTATATTCTTCCAATCTGTTCTCCATCAACTACTCCAAATTGTATCGTTATATTTCATTGTTCGTTATTCTATTCTGCTAGATAACAGTGCCGCCGTTTAACTGAGAGACACGACACAGTAATGTCAGAGAGACACGTGGCCACGTTATTATTCTCCTATTGGAAATCTGCCATACGCCAGGCAAGTGCGATAAATTCCATTAAAACGTAGAATTGTTAGCGACATGTTTCAGAAGCTGGTAATTAACACGCGAAGATATTTAATTGAACATCGGTAAGAATGAATAGAAAAGGATACAGACATAACATTAATTATTAAAAGCCTTCCAATCATTCACGTGATAGTAAATTTTCCAAATGTGTTCACACTTTAGGTGCTGGAAATGGGTCTCGTCACCAAGCTGATTGTAAGTTAGTATCCGCATGCGCACTGAGCTCACTTTAGGCTTATGTAGAGATAGCCGGTTAGGAATATTCCAGAAAGAAATTTACAGCTCTCCCGGTGGGACAGCAGTAAGTTTACGAACTTACAACGCTAAAATCCAGGGTTCGATTCCCGATGGTGGACACAGTAGGTATCCCAATGTGGCTTTGCTATAAAACAAACAAACGAAACTGAAGACAATGCTGCAATGAGTTTGTAGGTGTCGCTACTATAGATGTTGAGCCAGGAGACTAACCCGTTGTTTCTTTAGTTATTAGTTACAAGTTACTTCAAAGATTATCTGTATGTGCTTTCTGTTGAAATTGTTTTGTTTTTTGTGGCAAAGCAACTAAAGCTAGATGCCGCCGTCCCTAACTTTAAACTGCTGATCACAGGGTAGCCAATCGACCGTCAGTATTCATCGTCAACTCTTGGTCTATTCTTTATCAACGAATAGTAGGATTGACTGTCACTACATAATGCCCCCGAAGCTGAAAAAATAGTCGCCGGGTTTCGATCCCGCGACCTGCAGGTTATAAAAGAACCTTTCTATTGAAACTAATTGTCACTCCTTTCACGCACTAATATAAGAGTGGGTATTGGGATCCATACAGACTTGTCTATTTTTTCTAATGTCATAGAACTCCAATAAAAACTGTTATGTTGCCGAGATCATTCAGAGAGGGCGGGGTTTGGCAGAATAATGAAGTTTAATTGTGGCAGACGATAGTTATCGTTTGGCAGACGATAGTTATCGTTTCATTCTCCCATATTCCTCAGTAGATACCGAGGCTTAATTGTTAACATGTCGAACTGTGGATCAAAGGGTTTAAGGTTAAAAATGTGATGTAGCATTTTCAGCTGTGGCTGCGTTGTAAAAGTAGCAGTCAGTCACGTTATTTAATTGGTAAAGTCTCTTTATGGGTACAGGCGCTTCTGACTGCCTTCCTTCTAGTCAGCTATACTGAACCCTAGAGGTCTCTGGCTTCGCTATTTAGCCCTCGTGCTGATAAAATGCAGTTCAGGCTGAAAATTCCAATTCTCTGAATGGATATTGTTGTGATTTTCAACGAATTTTTGCTTTTGCTCCTACTTTTTTTCCCCACTATTATTTTATAATCAATTCTGAAATATTAAAATTAACTCAGATATCTAATAAACCTAAAACTAAACAATTTCTTGTAATTTATATAATATAAAATACCAGTTTTAAAGCGGACCTTTACCTTCTACGGCCATCCACTTCTCAGCTGCTGCTGTCTTGAAAAATGGTGCATCAGCCGACACTTCACAGCGAAACTTGCCCCCTGTCTCAGTCTGGACATTCTGGATAAAGATGGACTGTTGAGTAGACTTGGAGAACTGGAACAGAGCGTTTACAGACTTGTTAGATAGTTAAACAGGAGAGACTGGAGCAGAGCGTTTACACATCTTAAACACAAGAACTGGAACGGAATGTTTACAGGCTTGTTAGAAAGTCAACAGTAGAACCAGTAACGGAATGTTTACAGACTTGATAGAAAGTCAACAGTAGAACCTGTAACGTAATGTTTACAGACTTGTTAGAAAGTCAACAGTAGAACCTGTAACGGAATGTTTACAGACTTGTTAGAAAGTCAACAGTAGAACCAGTAACGGAATGTTTACAGACTTGTTAGAAAGTCAACAGTAGAACCTGTAACGGAATGTTTACAGACTTGTTAGAAAGTCAACAGTAGAACCTGTAACGGAATGTTTACAGACTTGTTAGAAAGTCAACAGTAGAACCTGTAACGGAATGTTTACAGAATTATTACATAGTCTAGCGAACTGGAATAGAGTGTGTTTCGAGTGACTTTACTTCCTCACCTGTGTGTAGTGACAGTTCTCACCTGTGTGTAGTGACAGTTCTCATCTATGTGTAGTGACAGTTCTCATCTATGTGTAGTGACAGTTCTCACCTGTGTGTAGTGACAGTTCTCACTTGTGTGTAGTGACAGTTCTCACCTGTGTGTAGTGACAGTTCTCACCTGTGTGTAGTGACAGTTCTCATCTATGTGTAGTGACAGTTCTCACCTGTTTGTAGGGACAGTTCTCACCTGTGTGTAGAAAGCGCAGTTATCTCTCGAGAAAATAAACTTACAAACAATGAATGAGTGTATTAAATCCTGTCACTACACACAGGTGAGAACTGTCACTACACACAGGTGAGAACTGTCCCTACACACAGGTGAGAACTGTCACTACACATAGATGAGAACTGTCACTACACACACGTGAGAACTGTCACTACAAGTTTTATAGTCCCACATGTTATTGTTTTGTGGGAATATTTCCTGGTCTAACTGAGTAAAATACAATTAATAAAACATTCGAGTCATGATTAGTTTTCCCTTCACCAGTTGAGTGTACTTACAAAACTAGAGTTAATTTTCATCCTCCATTAAAGCCAGGAGCTCTAATTATCCCTCATGATTTAAACACGAAAGCCGTAGAATTAAATAAACGTGTTTGCTGTTGTGAAAATTAAGTTTAAAATTATGTTTCATTATTTGATTTTGAAAATAAATGAATACATCTTAAAAGTACTTTATAAAACAAAGAAGAAAAAATGTCATAATAAAGAGAATATATTCTTACAAAGAATTAACTCGGAATTGCTCTCCAATTAACTATTTACATGAAAATTAGTTCATTAATTGTTAAAGCTCATCCTTTAAATAATACAGATTATCTCAACCTCTGACAAGACCGACATATAGGAAATCCAACTTACAATAATTATTTGTCATTTTAAGAAAATATATTTACTAACGCTGTAAAAAGAAATTAATATATTCAATTTCATTCATTTACTCTACCTAAGTTTGATGATATCCAGATGATTAATGAGAGAAAAAGAACATCATTTCAACTTTTTTTCGGATGTAAGAAAAAAACGCCCTGTTTCATGTGACAAGATAATCCCACATCTCTTGCACACTTTTATCAATACATCGTCTTACATATTGATCACTCAAAACTAAAGGTTGCATGTGATCAACAGTTGTCAGCCAAACACGATAGCTTGTTTGCTACCATTGGATATCTGTTTTTTTTTAACCCAATCAACCGTATTTATAGGAACAATTCTTATTTGCACCAGTATTAACGCCACATTACTATGTGAAAGTGATTTTTGACTGACCAATTACGGAAGTGCCCTTGTGTGGTTTGACCTAGAATTGTATTTCATTGGTCACGATACACCAAGTTTACATTGAAAGATGGCTACTGAAAATTTCACCCCCCTTTCGTTTCTGAACAAATCAAATTACTAGTCACAGGGTGAATTTAATTGCATTATTGCTGCATTGCTGCCCTCTTAAGTCAGAGATTAATACTAGAGCTGGGTGAATCATACGCTTAAGTAAAATTACAGCAACAATACAGCTCAGAAAGTTTTAATTTTAACATTAAATTGTAATTATAACGACAGTAGCAGTGCAATTTTACGGTGTAACTATGACGACGACATTAGTACTGCCTAGCAACATGTTATTTTAACTCTACAATATAACTATGACAACAGCAGCAGTTTAACTCTACAGTGTAACTATAGCGATAGCATAAGTGAAACCTTACAGTGTAACTATGACGACACAACATGTCATTTTAATTATACAGTGTAACTATGACGAGAGTAGCAGTTTAACTTCACAGTAACTATGACGACAACATTAGTACAGCCTAACAATATGTTATTTAGTACCACACTATTCCGCCCCACTCATTTCTTTTTTTTTCTTTCTAGTATATGAGTGTAAACAAATAATTTTAACATTTATTATTAAAAGGCGTAAATACTCTGTTTTCACTAGCCCTAAACCAAGGAAATAAAAACCATTTTTGGTTGTTTTGGGTCACACCCATTAATATCCATTTCCCCTCCCGAAATTCATTTAAAAATTATGAACTTATATATGAACTTAATAACGTTATATATACTCCCTTCAGTTCCAGATATTAATAATGTTAAATACACTTCATTCAGTTACAGATATTATAAATTTAAATAAACTCCATTCAGTTACAGATATTATAAATTTAAATAA